GCGCCATCGAGAAGCACCAAATCTCCAGACAGTGGCGAGTTATTCAACATCCACCGACTCATCCCCCTCCAGCAAGGTTCTCCTTGGGCTATAATATAGGTGATGAGGACATCAGTAGAAGATTCCAGCGCGTCTAACACAGAAGAAATCGCAGATCGACGGCCACGATCATGAGCATTTATTTATAAGTTATTATATGTTATTGTATTAGTGTTATTGTCATTATTTGTGTTATTTTACCTTTGTACCTCTATGAGGGAGTTTAGTGAGTTATAGCCCGGAGGGCATATGTGTATTTGAGTTTTCTTCATTATTGAGGCCTATAAATAGCAGCCCTAGTCTTTGTATTTGTTTTTAATGATTCCTTAATAAAATTTCTGATTTTCTTCTCTCAAGCTTGTGAATTATTGAGTGGTGAGTCCCAAGGAGCGGGCAAAGCAATACCCACCAATCGCGGAGGTGCTCTGGGCTCGTGGTCCGACTTTTCCCCCACTTCAAGCCGACGGCCATCCCCTCCCCTTGGTGCTAAGCCATCGGCTAGTCCCTTCCCCACTGTCGGCCAACTCTCCCACTGGCCCTCCTCCATTTTTCCCTTAAACCGACCCCCCTCCTCCACCCAATCTAGCGGACATCCCACCCCACCGGTCCAGCCGCCGGCCTCCACCCTCCAACCGCTAGTTTCGCTCCCTAGTTCTCTCTTAGCCGCCGTCCTACCTTATCCCAACATTTGAATTTTAAAATTCAAACTATTTTAATTGCATCCCTAAAATAACCCATTAGCATTTAGGAAAGTATCCTTATTTGAATTCAATTAAATATTTAAATTCTAAATAATTTCCTATTATTAAAACCCAATTAGGAAGCTTCCCTAATTAAATCAAATATGAAATTAAAATTTAGATTTGATTCAAATCCATAATTAATTCCTTTGGGGCCCACATGCATTGAACCTAGACATATATTTCTGTTGTAGGCAAGTGGGGGGGGGGGTCAAAATCATATGAGAATTTGTTTTGACCCTTGGGCTTCTGGTGTTTTCGGGTGAGCCTTGGTTGCTTTGTATTGAGCTCAAAATGCTGGAATTCTACTTGGTGTTAGCTCATAAATGCTTGAACTGAAGTTTTAGTTCAATGATTGAGATTAATTGCACTTCCTAGCTCATTAATTCAAAAAGGTTTGATATTAAGTCTTTAATTCATTTTGTAGTGGACTTTGCCTCTTCTCCTACCCTTTTGTCTTCTCATTTTCCTGTGTTGGCTGTTTTCTGTGCCTTGTCCCTTGGGTTCCCGTGACTAACTATTGATTTCCTGTGCTGGGTGGTTTTCTCGTGCCTTTGCCTCTTTGGTTCCCGTAGCTGCTGCTTGGTTCTGCGGCTGGCTGCTCGGTTCCGTGGCTTTTCTGCTTGGTTCCCGTGGGCTTTCTTCTCTGTTTTGCTGTGCCGTTTAGGGACTGATGTTTAATGAATGTTGGTCTTTCCTTTCCCTAAATCTAATAGTTCATTTAATGTTGTTTGGTGGCTATTTGGGGGGAATTCCATGAGTTCTTCCCTGTTTTCTGTGCAGAATTTTGGGAGCTGTTTTTGGATAGAATTTGGATAGCCTTTTACCCTTCCTCTTCCCTTTAGTTAATTAGTTTTAAATGAAGTTTTAGGTGGTTGTTTGGTTCCCCTTTCTTGTTATATATTTTGTATGAATAAAAAGGATGGATATAATGTGATTTTTGGGACAAAAACCTGAGAGGTTTTTCTTCTTTCTTGGAAAAGCTTGCGAGCTTGTTCTATTCCTCCCTTCCCCTAGGAAAGCTTGCGAGCTTGTCCTCCTATCGTCATCTCGGCTTCTAATCTATCTTCTTCTATCCGCAAGTTCCCTTCCACTTGTATCTTTCTTCTCAAGGCAAAACAAGTTTAGATTTTTATTATATAAGTTTGTTTGAGCGTTTGTAAGAGTCGTTTGTAAGGTGTCGTTTGATTTTATAAAAGTGAATTGTTTTGGTTTATTTATTGTAATTTGTGTCTTTTTGAGAAGTTCTTGTAGCCTTCTATTATCTAGGAAGACTTTCTTTTGTTAGCAAAAATTTGGGGCCCTCTCCCAAATTTTTGCTTGCATCAATTTCCCTTCCCATATGGTCGGCCCCCTCTACCTTCCTTTTTCCCTCCCCAATCAACTCCTTAATTCAAATTAAATACTCCCTAAACCCTCCTAAACCACCGGTCCCCCTTGAGCTATTTTGGGAATAGTTTGGGAGATTAAATCACCCCTTTTCTCTCTTAGAAAAATTCTGAAATAAATTTTAGAATTCCTAAAACCTCTTCTCCACCTCCCTAACCTTAAACCCTAGCCGCCCCTTACCTCTTCCCCACTACCCGAGAAACCCCACCACTGGCTCATCCCCTCCCTTCACTCTTTACTTCCGCCGGCTCCTCCAAGGCTCTTAACAAAGATGACTCCCATGTTCATGGATGGCCGATCCTGAAGTCGACCACGGATTTGCATACAACTCTCAAGGACAAATCGACATTCTCCAATCGCCCTTCTTTGATCCTGACTGGGAGTTCGAAGATTCCGTTGAAGACTACGTAGATCGCAAACTCTTTCATCTCGCCGAGACGATCGACGAACAACGACCATCCGGGCAGTGGCAACTCGTCGGACATCCACCTACGCCTCCTCCTGCTACTCTCCCGTGGATCAAGACTGTCGGCGTAGTAACTTTCTTCGTGGCGTCGTTTGGCTTGCTGAAGATCTTTCTTCTCTAAAGCCCTCATAGAGCGTGAGTGAGGAAGGAAACTCTAGGTGAAAGCTCTTGATATTAACCTGTGGATTATTATAACGAGTATATCTAGTTTTATTGTATTTTTTATATTGTTTTAAATTGATATATTCTCCTAAAAGTGTAACTGCATGCCAGAACAATACCTTAACGAATAATTCTTAAATTATTTCTTGTGGTTTATTAATCTTAAAGAAGCAAGCTTACAATGATTTTGTTATTTCCTTGCAATTCCTGGTGGTTTCACATCAATAGGCGTCTTATGTCTTTTGGTGACATCTTTAAGTTTGCTGAAATTATGCTCCCGTTAAAACAACTTCAAGAGTGAAAGTGAGGGGAAGTAAAGGTAAAATTTATATTTGTTAAATGGTAGATTTCTGCTACTTATGCATCTAGCTTCTATAATCTTGTTGTTATTTTAAATCGCCCTTCAAATCTCGCTTGTAACCGCATGACAAAGCACAACAACTAAGAAATCCTAGAATCTAATCTTGTGAAACATTAATTTTAAAATTAGCAAGCTTAACAACTGTTTATTAAATTCCTGCAATTCCATTTATTTTCACATCATTATCATAATGATTTATAAATTTTAACATATATTATATAAATGTAATATCTAATTAAATTATTAAAATACTAATTTAATTTAATAAAAACTTATATAAAGTTTTAAAAGATATAATTTTTTTGTGTATTATATTTAAAAAAAAAATTCTGATATAAAAATATTTATAACTTTTAACGGTTTTATTATTATCTTAAAATAATAATAATATATTTTTATAAATTTATAAATATTGAATATATAAAGTTATTATTAAAATTATAATAAATATACAATATAATATCTATTAAAATAGCTAAATATTTAATTTTTAATTATAACATCAATATTTAATTTCTATTTTTATTAGTATTATATTTTTTTGTATAACCGCAATTAGAACAAAATGTGAAAAATACTTACCTGGTTTCGAACCCGAGTCCATTTGTTGGAATTCCAACCTTACTGCAAGAACTGTAGGTAAAATCTGTATATTTATAAAATGATTTTGTAAGTATTAGTAACTTACAGAAATTTTTTTTATGTTTCCTTAAGAAAATGCTAAAGGATTTGGTGTTTTCTTAACACATCAAATTAATTAGCGTTTTTGCAAGATAAAGACATTATTTGGCGTTTTTGCTCCTTTTTAAAATCTTTAATAATCATGCTTCTTTTGCTTAATTATGCTTTAAATGTGCTCCTTTTTAAAATTCCTCCTAACTAATTCATGATTAATAAGATACTCAAAGAAATTTGAAAGAAAACAAACCATATAAATACGATACATATATGCATTGGCGGCACTTTTAAACAAAACTAACCCCAAATGACTTGAAATATTAGTTTACATGATGTAGTATGCCTTCGGATTTAGGGCTTACAAATACCAACCTAGCATGAGATACATAAAGAAACACTAGGAATATCATAATTTATAATTTTCTAATAATTAATTTAAACAAAAATCGATCTCTTTTGATGTAAAATAAAAAAAACATACTTATTTTGTTCCAAAAGGCAATGTAAAAATCACATAAATCTGAAATTCTCTTGTAACTGAAAAAACTGTACAATTAATGAAATTTACACCACAAAGAAAGCCAACACGTAACAAACTTGATAAAATCTCAATCACACACACATGCCAATCACTAACAAACACAAAAGAAAGAAAAAATGATAGCATCACCAATTGTAAGACCAAGACCCCATGTCGTACAAGGAGAATTATCTCACAGAAGTTGTCCTCAAGACTTAACAAATTCCTTAAAAATCAACATTCAATAGTACACACAAGAATTGAAAGTAACCAGAATTTTATTCAGCCATTCAACACTTATATTTTTGTAAATGTCTCAAGGGCCCTATCAGCTCTCCCATCTCTAGCCTCTGCCTCTGCCCTCGCTAGCTCCCAACCCTTCGGCCTCCTCAATGCCTTCTTCCTTTCCCTACCCAACTCTTTTCTCTTCCACAGATGCACTCCCCGGTTTAATCTAAAACCTCCACAATTCACCTGCTTCTCCATTTCAATTTCCTTGTTATTTATCATACTCCGTGAGAATAAACTTGCAACCATTCAGATCTTGATCCAATGACAGAAAAACTAGGGGGGAATGGAGTTTCTCCTAGGAAGAGAAAATTCCATCTCATATATGATATATATAAATAGAGCATTCGCGAGTACCTCATCAAAAATCCATTTGGCAACTCCATCTTTCTGTAAGAGGTGAATATATTTGAACAATAATCCAATGATATCTTCATGATGATCTGGCACAAAATTTTTGCACATTATTGAACAAATTGACTGTTAACAGGACATACTAGAGAAAAAGGATTCACGTAGCCAACCCCACAATAGGTGGGAAAAAGGCTTGATGTTGTTGTTGCTGCTGTAATGAACAAATTGACAGCTTGAAAAACCAATAAAAAGTGATGCTAAAAAAGCAACACTTGAAAATTTGATAAATAATTTATAATGTTAGAGAATAGACTAACCATGACCAGAATCAGTGAGCTCAATGGTAACAGAGAAGAAAGAATAGTCAACACTGCAATCCATTTCCCCAGCACTCAAACTCATAGCCCAACCTACAATTTAAAGAAACAAATATATTCTATTTAATTTAACAGAGAAATGAAGTGATCCAGCTTGACCATGTAATTTGAGATTAATAAGGATGCCTTGTTCTTAAGATATTACAGATTTTAGACCAAGAACATGCGGTACTGCTGCTCATAATACTGGTACTAATGGACCGTGAAAGCAATATCCAGGAGGCACAGGATAACAACAGAATTTAGGCACAAGCTAACGAGGGAAAAAAAAGTTGCATCTGCTAATGTCACTAACCGTCTAATGCCATTGCATCTAACTTCCAGTAATCAAATGCAATTTCAAACATAACAAACAGATTACCTCCCATAAAAACAGTGGATATGATTCATTAAGTTAAATATATTTACAGAACACAATGACAAAAAAGGATTCATGTAGCCGACCACACGTAGTGGGATAAAGGCTTGATGTTGTTGTTGTTATATATTGATCATGCAACTAGTCACCCAAATCAAGTAAAGCTAGGTTGGGCTATGAAAATGCTGTTTCCAAGATGAACTTATAGTGATTGAAAGTTCAACCCAGCCAATTCCTTTCATCAAAGATATGGTCATCCACTTTATCTTACAACATCATTGATAGATATCAATAGATATTTGATGATTAATATAAAATTTTCACCTCACACTACAGGAAAAACAGTGAAAACCGGCGGTTTGAACCGGCGGTTTAGAGGCCGTCGGTATTACCGTGTTTTTCCTGTAGTGTCAATTATTCATAAAAAAAAAAAAAGTTGAATCTAGTCCTCAGCTCCATCAAAACTTTTTGAAGCAAATGAGCGTAATCTTGGTCAGTGGTGTCAAAAAACAACTCTAGCTTAGCTCTCCAAAGCAATTTATTAAAGAAACTTAGGAGCTGCTTGGTCAAATAGATAAGTTCATCCGGATAAATAAAATCTAGACAATCTGCTAACATCTGCTAAGCTGATAACTAAACAAAAGCCCTAGCTAATACGTATAATTGGACTTTATCATGATTTATGTCTCGTAGAAAGAAGGATTATATGGAATAAATACAAATCATCAATTAAATAAATAGCACAATTATATTTGCCACTAATCTGTAATCAGAATTTAAATAAACATGGCAGTATGGCACAATTAGTACAGTAATTATGATTATATTATTGGAAATTAGAAGGATTAATAAATCGTATAAAGTCAATAATTGATTTAATTAATTAATCAAGGATCAAATTAAACAATAAAAAAAATGCTTATTAATTAATGTGTCATCCAAAATTAGAAAAAGTGATTAGTCACCAAAAATAAGTTTTTACCATTACTAGAAACTAATTGTTGAAAAAGAGCTAACTTAAAGCTTTAGACAACATTAAGAAATGAAGTGAAAGGTTCTAAGTTCAGAGGCAGTGTGAAATTCAATCAACACAGGGAACTGGACGCAATTTAATCATTATTTAAATGAGAGTAGATTCAACTAGACTGTCTAAGCCTGAATTTTTAATTTGCAATACATGATTTCCTAACTTTTATAAGTACATTAAGCTTTTCTTTTTTTTCATGTTCTATTCATTCTATTGCATTGTGATTTTTTCCATGCTATTTCTTTCATCCTAATGTTCCATGTTCAAGCATATTCACACGAAATCTTGTCGTGGGATTCGGAAAATAAACTTCAGCTTGCACCTTCAAAAATGTACATATACTTCCAACAAAATGCAAGAGCCAATACTTGATGCGGACATCCAACCGTCCATGCCTATCCGAGGAGGAGCTGAAGATCGACGGCCGAGATCCCTTCATTTTATCTTATTTTATTAATTGTAATTTTTATTTAATTATGCATTTTTCTTTTTTACCCTTAAGGGATTTGTTTTATGTAAGCCCAAGGGGCAAAATTGTCTTTTAGTTTCTTTTAAGGCCAATATATAGAGGCCTTTGCTCTTGTATTAGAGATGATGGATTATTAATAAAATTTGTTAGTGAAATCCCTATGGGAGGGATTTGGAGTTGCCACCAGCCACAGGATGGGTCCGGGCTCGTGGCATGAAGTCCCTTGGAGAAGGGCAATG